AACGCCTGGAATATTGAGGCAAATGTTGTATACTTTGAATCTCCGGTCGGAATCGGATTCAGTTATAAAGACGACCAGAAGTACAACAATACCGACGAATCGACGGCTGAAGACAATCACAAAGCGGTCGAAGAGTTTTTCAATAAATATTCGGAGTTTAAGAAAAATCCGTTTTTATTTTTGGCGAAAGTTATGGCGGAATATATGTCCCGATGTTAGCCCACAAGATATTTAGCTCCGGGTCTCTCATTAACCTTAAAGGTTAATAGAGTTAAAATTGCTATAATTTTATATGATATATAAAATACAGTAAGTTTTTTACATACAGTATGTATTATGTATTAATTAGGTATAGCACTGGGCAATGGATTTCTGGAGCCGGAAGTGATCGGTGGTCAGGGAATGATTGATTATCTAACGGCTCACGGATTGGTCCCAACCGAGACCTACGAGAAGAAGATCGAGAATTGCTGTGAATGTAAATCAGGACAGGTTTTACAGAAATCTAATTTTGCTACAAAAGCCGTCAATAAAACGTGTGTTTCAAAAATTAGTTAAACTTTTTAAACTACACTTCTATAATAATATAAAATTAATTTAGATAATTTTAAATTTAATTGTTTAATTACCCAAACTAAACGGACATATAGGAAATGCGACTCGGTGCCAATGGAATTTATCCTGCCACAAAACTTCTATAACATATACGATGATTGTGGGGTTCAATACAAACCCAATCAATCATTTTAATGCTTATTACGCCAATGCGTTAAATATGCCACAAATTAGCCTAGATGCAAACAATGAAGCGAACTGTCCGCCACAGGGTTACCACGATTACATGAATTGACGTGATGTACGCCAGGCTCTGCACGTACGGCCTGAAGACATGGTAGAGTGGGTTGAGTGCCAGCAGGACAGGTATAATGACTTTGGTAACGATCAGCACCAGAATATCAATGATTTAATCCATAAGTATAACATCGGGAAAGTTGTGATATATAACGGCGATCTGGACGTCGCCTGTAGTGTAGTCTCTGATCAACGGTTTGTCGATAGTCTTGGCCTTAAAAGGATTGATAAGTATACAGTAGGTGTATAGAGTAGTAACATTTATTGACAATTTCCTCTATGTCTTAAAGTTTTTGATAAAAATATATGTGTAGTTTTATATTAGCCATCATTTACTAATGTTTTATTATTATTTAATAATAATTGTGTTAAACATATAGTGTGTGGAAGAGAGCGGACGGAAAGATTGCGGGTTATGTCCAGCACTACGAGAATAACGTGACTTTTGTTGTGGTTCGCGGCGCCGGACATATGGTTCCCTACGATCAGCCCGAGGCTGCACTCACTATGTTTAAAAATGTAATCGGGGTCACAAACTTTTATTAAATCGTTACAATAACATAGAATAAATGCTAAGAATCCTCTGTTTATAGATTATAACACCGTTTATAAGTGTATTGAAAACTGAATTTGTATTAATAATAAAATGCATTTGAAAAATGATAATAATTTGATTATTTATATAAATAAAATGAAAGTTAGCAAATAATACTTTTTAGTACAATAATGTATAAATTGTAAGTAAATTGTAAATATGTGTGAATTTATGTTACGAAACAATTGCAACAAATGTGTTAAACATTATAATTAACATTTGCTTGTTTTAAAGTTTTCAAAGTTAAACATAATAAATAATATTTAAAATTTTTTTATTGAATAAAGCTAAATAAATCATTGAATTTTATTATAATTTAATACTATAATTGTATAGTTATTTAAAAGATATTGATAAACAAATAACTTATTAGCTAATAAATAAGAGGATTATATTTATATATTATAATCAAGATTTACTATTAAGAAATAATTTAAAAAAGTAATTGTAAACTATCAAAATTAATAACAATTTTATATTAATAAATCAATTTATAAAATGTTTTTTAAAATTTACATATTATTGGTAATACTTCACTTTTAATTGGAAAGACCATTATTGCCCTATCTTTACAACATAATTGTAAGCTATACATATAAATGCTATTTGAATAATTTAAATGAATACTACTAACTATTAACTTAAATATTATACATCTATATTATATTTGCTTTAAAACAACTTTTGTTTTTTAACAAAGTGATTTTTATAAAAAAAAATTATAAAACCAGATTTATGGATGACAAAAAACTCCTATCGATTGTTTTTCCAACCAAGGATGTTTAAATGCTTATTTATAGTGAGGTATTTTTATTAACAAGTTATTTATACGTTTGTAATATTATAATTTATAATTATTTTATTTAATTGCGTTTTAACAAAATTGTTTTGGGCCCACAAATACAATATAACTAGTTATTCATTACAAGTTAATATACAAGTAGTTAAATTTTATACATAACAACTACAGAATTTATATATTATTTGAAAATTTTGATAATTAAATTTTAAAATCATATTATTTTATCAAAATTTTAATATTTTGTTTCCAATAGTGTTGGGCGAAAGTTATCAAAATTATACAAATTGGTTGATTACAGTCGCCATCGGTTTAATAACAGTATATTTAGTGAAATTTTATTGGCAAGTGTTTTCTCAACCCCGGGGTCCGTTCCCACTGCCTGTGTTGGGCAATGTGTTGAGTAAATATCACAATTATAATACAATGTATATTAAGAGCAAAATAATAACTACATATTTTAATTTCAAGTGTTCAGAAACATAAAAGTACATCCGATTGTGTTTATGAATGCCTTGCATAACACATATGGACCTGTGTTTACACTATGGATGGGTTGGACACCAATGGTCATCATTGGTGACTACAATTTGCTTAAAACGGCATTTAATTTTAAAAACAACGATATTATGGGAAGACCAAAGACCAGGGTCAATAAAATATTAGTAGATCCCGGATATAATTTAATATTATCTAATTACGGCCACACATTTCTCAGCCTCAAAGGGGTAGCGCTCTCGGCGGTCAAGTATGCGATATGAAAATTGAATATCATGTACATTTATTATAGGATATAAATAATATTTAATTTTACAAAACATCAGAAAATTTACCACAAGTGAAATGTTGTCTGATTTGGTGAACGATGTCGTCGACGACACCGTACAGACCATGAAGAAGACACACCCAATTGGCACACCATTTGATCCCAAGAGATATTTTACGTCAAGTGTAATGACAATACTCGCGTCAATGGTTTACGGCAAACGGTATGTATTTACAGTATTTTATCAACTGGGTGAACCGATTGGGTTTTAGCATTTGGTTCACACAAATGATATATTCATACAACTGATTACATGTTAAAAGTAAGAATATGTTGACTCAATAAATGTTGCGGTTAAGGGAAAACTTCTACAAACAGGTTGAACTATTAATCCCAGATGTTTAAATTTTACAATTTAATTAAAACTTAAAGTTTTTAATTAAGTTTATTTTTAATCGTAATTTTCAATCTTTAGAATTTTATTAATATAACGAAATATTTGCATATACAGTATTTTATCAACTGGGTGAACCGATTGGGTTTTAGCATTTGGTTCACACAAATGATATATTCATACAACTGATTACATGTTAAAAGTAAGAATATGTTGTTGTTTTATAAATATAGGTGACATTGCTTGTTTTTGTATGCATTAGTGATCTCTTTATACTGTAATTTAACTTTATGCTAAGGTTTTTTTGGTTTTGTGAACAAAAATATTAATGATGTCATCTATGTGTGAGTTTTGTCACATAATATATGTGTCTCACACAACCGATTGTATTGAATATAGTATAATATTAGCTCAATTTTGTTCACACAAATGATATGTTCACACAGTTGACGTTCACACAGTTGATACTATTTTAGCATTGTGTCTATGGACTGCGGGTTTTGGTTTTAGGGTTTGGTTCACACAAATGCTAAGTTCACACAACTGCTTGTTCACCCAGTTGATAAAACACTGTANTATGTTCACACAGTTGACGTTCACACAGTTGATACTATTTTAGCATTGTGTCTATGGACTGCGGGTTTTGGTTTTAGGGTTTGGTTCACACAAATGCTAAGTTCACACAACTGCTTGTTCACCCAGTTGATAAAACACTGTATATTAATTACTGTTTTAATTATTAATTTATTTTTCATTACCGGTAATAATAATTGTTTGCCACAAAATAATTAGATATCAATTTGGAGACAAGGAATTAATGTTTTACGAGAAAGGTTTAGATTTTCTGCAAAACAATGCCAAAAACGTTGTGCTCACGGATCGCATACCTGTTATCAAAATATACCCAACATTTGCTAAACTTGAGCGCAAAGCAATTGAAACGGCAATAAACCTCTCAATCAATATTAAAAATAAATATAAGGATCACCTGAAGACCCATTCCTCGGGTGTCGTCAATGACTTCTGTGACGCTCTCATTGAGGCTAAAGAGGAGGCCATTCAGGAGGCAAAGGATAACCTCAACGCCTTAACTGATGCCAACCTATCACTTGCAATTATGGACTTATTTGCTGGTTTGAACACATTTATTACCGTATTTCTGATGTATTATTGCATGCAATATTAGTTAATTAACAATTATTTATACTAATTGTTTAACAAATTTACAAATCACTGACAGCCGGAAACGACACAACACAATATACTATGCGATGGATTCTACTATTGATGGCAAACAACACAGAAATGCAGATTCAGATGAGGGATGAGATCGAGTCTGTGATCGGCGATAGAGTGGCCACTAATGAAGACAAAAATCAATGCCATTTTGTTAACGCTTTTATTGCGGAGACACTTCGGTATAGAGTGGTCGCACCCTTTGGTATTCCCCATATGACTACACGTGAAACACACTTTGGTATTAAATGAGACAATTACTTAATTATTAACAGTTAATTAATATTTTAGATAAATATAAAATAAAAAATATAACAATGGTGTTTGGAAATTTATTGGCAATTCATATGGACCCAAACCTATGGCCAAATCCCGAAGTGTTTGATCCCAAGAGGTTTCTCACAAGTGATGGTAAGTTCCGGTCAAACACCGCGGGCTATAACCCCTTCGGTATCGGACATCGCGTATGTATTGGCGAAAAGCTGGCGCTCGCGGACCTGTTCTTCATAACAGTGCGTCTCTTGAAGTCGACCAATGAGTGTGTGTTTGCGTTACCGACGGGCGACGGATCCGCCGACTTACGGCCCGACTCTAACAAATTATTTAACTTTTGTCCAAAACCTTATGAAATTATTATCAAAACATTAAATAATAATTATATCAATTGATAGCATTACCACACACTCGCAAAGTAAATTGGTCATTTATTATGGGTTAAATAAACTTTAAATAAAGTTTTCTAAATATAAGGTTTTTTAAATAAAATAGAAAACAAATAGATAACAAACATTTTAATATGTTAAATACTGTATTTCATACGTTACATGTTTTACTTTACTAATTAAATTTAATTATTAATATTTACAAAAATTAAAATTTATAAATTCATTTAATAATATGCCTATATTGGAGATTAATCATGACAATTTGACAAATTGACATAAAAGTACTTAATGTATATTGAGACTATCCACTTATTAAACAATAAGTGATTTTGTGCCAATTGCTCTAAACTTTATATTGTTTGCGGTTAATTTATGCTTATTATCAACCAATATCTAATTTGCTAATATATTAATTTAACATTATCTCAATTAAAGTGCATTTCTGTCAATTTATGTCTATGCACCTAATTTGTTAATATTTATTTGTGAAATCAAAGGTTTATTGTAATTATAAATCTCAAAAGCTTTTTAGCTTGATAAATAAGTTTGATTATTTCAGAGTATATCTCAAACTAATTGTTTTTTACAAGTATTGCTTTACTTTTGATAACGTACTGCACTTACTTTATATTGTATGTTATTTTTATTAGTATATAAAGCAAAATTATTCTAACATAAAATTTAGTAAATAAATAGTGTTTTATTGATCACTCAAATAAAACAATGATTTTAATGAAAATCTATTTAGTATTTATAGCATTTACAGTAAAGACATGTTTAGTGTCGGCCGTAAATGAAGATGAGATCCAATCACTTCCCGGTCTCTCCGAAGCCATTAATTTTAAACAATATTCAGGATATCTATCGATAGGCGACGGAAAGCATTACTTCTATTGGTTTGTCGAGAGCCAGAAGGACCCGAAGACAGCACCGGTAGTGTTATGGCTGAACGGAGGGCCCGGTTGTAGTTCATTGTTTGGTAAACTCCAAGAGAACGGACCCTTTAAGGTGACCCCCAATGGACTGAACCTCACTCTAAACCCCAACGCCTGGAATATTGAGGCAAATGTTGTATACTTTGAATCTCCGGTCGGAATCGGATTCAGTT